AATCTACGAATAAAACAAAGAGAATTACACGTTGTGTTTTGAAAGCAACCACACATTGCTGGTCCGCCAGCTTAATGCTAATGTTGACTCAAAATGGAAAATGCCATTGGCATCTGTGGGGTGGTGGTATAATGCTTTCAGCAATGGATATTTCAACATTAACACAGTATTACGCCAGTACAAACAATGACTCACATACAGCCATGCAATTAGTGACACCAATTGGAAAGAAACCTCGACAGATTGGCAAAATACGGACAATAGGTAGCCTCAGACACAGTGCCAACATGGAAATGGGGAAAAAATGCTGATATATTTTTAACTGATGCGAGGATTCTGCTCAACAGCGACATTTTCAGGAATTGGCACTCTCAAAAGAGTACAAAGACGAAGTAAAGAGCCACCGATAAGGAAAATAGATTGTGTCCATTTAAAATATAACTAAGTTTTGACATCTATGGTTTAGTTCACCTGAAAAAAAAATGTATAGGGGGCGGGGGGAGTTTGATTTTTAAAATAATTCTTTTGGGGCACTAAAATAAAGCAATACCTGATTGACATCCAACAAATTTCTGTTTTTTTTTTTTTTTTTTTACCTTCATCAATTTCTAATTATTTCACTACGGAGTGTTCTTTCTCGAATGGAGAGTTCCCAACAATTTTGCCACTGTGTGTAATGCTCCTATATTTTACATCCACAGCGGTGATTTAGTTCTGTTGACAGGGTGTTTTCGTGACGACTTGTCCACTGGTATTAGAATTGTTTTGTTGTTTTTTTTTTTAATGTGGTGGGGGTGTCCGGCATCATACATCTGGACAGGACAGATTGAAGCTTGAAACTCAAAGCAGCAACGTGTTGGCTGCCATTTGTATGCTCAGCACACTTGGCCCACACAGTGCAGTGACTCTCACTCCTTCCTGTTTATACTTTTATTCTGCAGCACTTTAATGGGCCATCACACACTTACACACAAACACACACACACACACACACACACACACACGCACACACACACACACACACGCACACACACACACACACACACACACACACACACACACACACACACACACACACACACACACACACACACACCGCTTGTAAATTTCACTTGCCTGACACAGCATGTGTCTTGCGGGGACGTTTTGTAGGACAACACAGTCAACTTGTCACCAAGATGCCATCCATCTATCAGTCAGACTCCATGTTAAACCTCCTTGAGGACTGACACAGTGGTCAACCATTTTCTATACCACTTGCTCTGATTAGGGTCATGGGTACGCCGATCCCAACTGACTTTGAGCAAGGCCAGTGTACACTCAGAAATGGTCGCCAGTCAATTATGGGCCACGTATACATGAACAAGCATTCAGACATTTTATGGACAATTTGTTTGGCTCAGCTAACATGCATGTTTTGGTGATGTGGGAGTAAGTTGGAGGATGTGGAAAGGGTAAAATGCACACCGGAGAAGGGTCTGAGCCGAGATTCGAACCCTGAAGCTCTCGACTGTCAGGCAGACAAGCTCCCCACTACGCCACAGATTGGCTTGAAAATATGCATGCATCCTCCAAATGGTCGTGTGGGACCCTTACCTGTGTCAAAGTGGGAGCTGAAGGCAAAACTGGGATTGAAAAACGCTGACGACATGACAGTCACGTGCAGGGTTAAGAACATCCTTCCCCGGAGACAAAAACAGTCTGAAATGATTCTTTCTTTAAAATGACAAGACTAATCATGAAATTTGAAAATCAAGCTGATTCAGAGTCCAGCTTCTTTGAAGAAGGTGCGAAGCAGGATTTTCTCCCTCAGAGATGTGGAGGCAGACGTGGACACTCATATTCGCGTCGGCACATCTGTATGGTCACCATAGTCCTCTTTTTTTTAACGTCTTTCCTTCACGTTTTACGGCGCACCTGATCGTCACTCTGATCTCCTGACAGCGATCAAATCGAGCAACATCTATTTGTAAATAAATCCTGAAGATCAGGCAAGATCTTGCTTCTTTTCTCCTGTAATGGCGAGTTCTGACCGCCGGCCGTGTTGTTTAATTCAAAACCACAACTATGAAAAAAACAAACAAAAAAGGACCAACGATGCTCGTCTGGGTTTGTGCTTCGCAGCGGAACGGCCTGCGCCAATGTCAAGCTCACGTAATTACACAACAATGGTCGCTAAATCAACTTTCAAAATAAAAGTATATCCGCTGTCTTGTGAAGCGAATGATTTTCTTTTGACCACGAATAATCGCGTGGCTGTTTGGGGAGCTTTCCGAGTTTGGAGCAGCTGGCTGGCGCAGCTTTGCGCTGGAGGAATTCTGCCTGCGGTCGCCCTTCGTGTGGGATTTCGGTCTCGGCATGCGGAAGTGATGATGTCACGTGTCGCCCAGACCGGTCCTCGGTTTTCGTTAAGGTTGTTTTGACGTATGTCAGTCGAAACCCACACGAACGCAGAAGTCTGTTTGTATGGGGAAACAGACTATTTGTATGGAGAAACGCTGTAAAGGCCACTTTGGAGGTGGCAAAAGTGCTCACACTCTAAATGTAATAGTACAGTAGCAATAGTTAAAAAAAAGTATTGTTTTTGATGTGATTTCATCCGTGGGCTTTGAGAAAAAGAAACGACCCTATTTTAACAAAGTAGTAAGTAGAAAAGTACAGATTTCAAATGTAGTAAGTAAAAAAAAAACTTCAAAGATCAGATAACGGAAATTATTTACTTTATTGCTTCCCACCACTGCACAGTGGTCAGTGAAATAACTTGAGACCTTCAAACATGGTAATAAATATAACTGACCTGAAAATTAAACAGTGAAAATCGTGACCCTTGTGGGGATATACGTTTCGCATAATGGATGGACGGATATCTTTGAAAGATAAACCTCAACCCTAAAAATTACTTAATGTTTCAGTTAATCCGGACATGTTTGTATAAAATCATACAAATTTACCTTTGTGTATTTTACTGACAGATGACATTTGTTTGTATCACTTTTATTGTCGCCACGGTGTTCCCTTAAGAACGAGTCACTTAAACACAGATCCGTTTTGATCTGCATTATACGATCCATAATGCTATCAATCATCAAAACGTCGTTCAAATGCAACGGGAGGCTTCACTCCAAATTCCTAAGGACGTATCAAATGAGCAAGTTTCCCCACACAGTGCTTTCTTTGTCCTTGGACAATTGCATGTATGCTGCGCTCTTGTGGCTAAAAATTACACAGCATTACAGACGGTGTTCAAGGAAATATTCTGTCTCGCAATTTTTTTCCCACATTTTAAAACAATTCCCAGGTAAATTCATAACATGTCTGTGAGATGCGTTTTCAGAAATGTGCCGAAAACTAAATATTTACCTCGTCACTTGATGGCACACTTTTTGAGTGCACAAGCAACGACTCCAAGATTTCTGTACAACAGTGGTCACCAACGTAGCCCTCGTGAGGACCACATGCGTAGCCCGCCAGTGCTAGGACATTGTGATTTGCTCGTAAAAATTATGATTTGAAAATGCAAACACCAGCAACATTGTGAGACATCTTTAACACAATCAGAGGCTGAAAATTAAAATAATCAAATATTAAAAATAGCACATTCTAATATTATTAAAGGTAATCTGGACAAATATGTAATTTCAGATGTGTATCAATTTGGTAGCCCTTCACACAACCGATACACATGAAGTAGCTGCCCCCTCTCAAAAAGGTTGGTGACCCCTGGTGTACAAGAAATTAAAAATTCATAATGCAGAACCATTTAATAGCCGCAGTCTCTAAGAAATATATTAACGTATAAACTGCTGTTTATGTGAACAATTGCACAACTTTGTTTTAGGAATGCCTCGCAAGCTTAATGCTAACACATTATGGAAAGTGCCATGGTAAAACAAATAGCATCATGGTGGACTAACCCTCATCCAAGCACAAACAGTTGTGTGCCACATGTGAAAGACAACATCACAATACTCACAGACATATATTCTTTATCCTTTGCAAAAAAAAAAAAAAGATTTTATTGCAGCTTACTGAGTCACAGAGTAATGATGACTGTTATTCATTTATGTTTATATTGGCCCTGTAGCCAAGGCAAGCACACAAGAAGTAGCAGCACAGTTAACTGAATTGGATTAGTATGTATGTATTGATCGCAACCGAGAAGGGAAGAAAATGACACTAGGGTCTGTGCGGCCCCCTTCTTCTCCTCACTCTGCTTGGGGGGAAAGACCTCATCTGGGCCAACCTCAAACCGGCGCCGGGCCGAGCCCTCTGTGTGAAACTGCCGTCCTTGATGCCTTCCACGAACGCCTCTACGCCATCTAACTTTGTGCTGAGGCTCGCCAGGTCATTCTTGAGGGCGTTGAACTGTCTGTGGAGCTCCCCCAGAGCGTCTGACAGAGGAGCGATCCTACATGGGTGGGCATGAACACGGGGATGCATCAGCGGCCGGTCACAACTGTTCCTTTTCCGTTAAATGTGGATTCCCACTCAAAAGAACGAGTAACTTGCCACAGGTGGTTGGAATGTTTTTGCCAGATTACATAAACACATTAGTCATTGCCACTTTGATAGGTTTCCAGTTTTCCTTCGGAGACGTTTTTACGATGAGCTCACCACAAAGTAGAACCAGCTTGCCATGACCACATGTGGTCAGGCATCTGCTGTTATCTAATTCTGTGCGGCTCGGCGGAAATAACAATAAGAGGAAGAAGAAATTACAGTTGATATCATATGTACTTTTTTCATTGTTTTTTTTTAATGTAATTTCATTTACATAGACAAAAGAGAGATGATAGTAAGACTGAAAAGAGAGAGAGAGAGAAACTGATGGATGGATGATGATAGATGGTAAGACTGGTAGAAAAACAAAACTGAACAACAGAAAGATTGGATGGATAAATTGTTGGATGGCTATATGAGAGAGAGGGGTAGAGAGAGAGAGGGAGAGAGAGCGAGAGCTAATTGACTGACTCACCGACTGTATTCGGGAAGGACGGACGCGTGGTCATTGATGAGCAGCTCCTTCATGCGAGTTAAAATGGCAAATTTCCAGTTGTCCAGTATTTGGGTCAAGTTGCTGCAAGCCTTGCCATCTTTCCGTTCTATATTAACCCCCCCTACCCCCCCCAACACACACACACACACACACACACACACACACACACACACACACACACACACACACACACACACACACACACACACACACACACACAATGCGTTATATGTAATTGTTTGTACAAAGTAGAAACCAACCCAAAAGTGTTTCTTTTTGACCTTTTGGGTACCAATGTGGCGTTTCCTGTTTCCATTTCTGCGACCGAGCCACTTGGATCATGCAGAGGAGGAGAAGAGCCCCTCGAATGTGCATTGTCCCCTCTTTTCCCAAGTTTCCTTCTACAGCACCATTCATGCACAAGGCAAAGCCTGCTTTACAGAGGCTAGGAAATTCAAAGCAAAATTCAAATAAAATTAAATTCCGAACTGTGTCAAGGCACCTGCTGACACACGGATGACTTTCCTAATTCAACAACATGATCATTACATTTGCAATCAACTGCTAAAGTTTTTCCTCTTACCGTTTTGTTCTGCTCGGGACACGGCAACAAAAACAACAACGTGAATGCCACCTCGATCTCGCACTTGATCGTATTTGCCGCCCAAAAGCCACTCCCTCTGCAGAGTCAACACATGTTGCACAAAAACTATCGTGGCAGGCTAAAATTGCGTCTTCAAGATCATCTGCTGTGTGTGTGTGTGTGTGTGTGTGTGTGTGTGTTTTAAATTTTAATCCCATTCATGTTTTCATCAGAGTGGGCTGCAAAATAGCAGTAAAGGTCCAGCCAGAGCATTCTTACAGCTTGCTTGAAGTCGTTTTGGTCACACATCTGGGCAACAAAATCACGTGACCTTCAATCTGATTATGTAATAATATAAAAATGTATCGTTTGTCTTGTCTATTTGCTTGATAGAAGAGTGAATCTCTCCAGCGAGGATGTGCATTTTGCCGACTTTCTAAACAAAAACATTTTGAGTTGTGGAAACATTCAGGTGAATTATTAAAAGTAATGTACTGTTTTTGAGAAATGCTTGACATCTGTATTGCATGGAGTCTATCGACTGCTCATCCAGCCTAAAATGACTGCATTACATTCCACAGAATGAACTCAGAATTTTTTTTTTTTTTTAACGGCACCCAACAAGTTATATTTTGGGTTAAGGTCTGGGAACTGGACTGGCAAATCCTTGAATAAAGTGCGATGGAGCCTTGAAAATAAAGAGCCTTGAATTACAGATTCATAGAAATAGGCCTACAAACTGTCACTGAGCTGATTTTTTGTTTGTTTGTTTGCCTTTAGATACAAGCAAAAATGTGAGAAATGTATGTATTTCAGGCGCCTACCACTCGATGGCAGTAGGTCACAACGTCAGGTCATAAAAACACATTTTGTTGTTTTTTGGGGGGAGGGGGCAGTGGGCTTGCAACGGATCAATTGCTTTTCTGTTCATTTCAATGGGAAAATATGATTTGAGATATGAATGTTTTGAGATACAAACTCATATCACAAGGCCGCACCCAATTTCCTTCCAGGCTGCAAGTGGCCCTCATAAAATTTAAAACTGTAAATTAATGTTTGAACTGAAGTAACATATACAATGTCTCCCTACAGCCTAAAATAAGCATCTCACTGCTGTAAAGGAGGATGTTGCATATGATTTTTAAATTGTATTTATACTTCAGTTGTAATATAACAATTGCAAACATATTTTCATTTATTAAAATTTCAAATTACCATTTTTATTCTATTTTTAAAACTATTTTTATATTTATGAAAAACATCTTTTTAAAATCACTGTTATCGTATATTAACTTTATCATATTCGCTCAATATAATTTGATTGTTATTAACTCAGTAAATTATTAATTATGTACACAATGGTCAATCAACATGAAGAGACCAAAATTTTTCCTCAGTCTCTTGTTCCTTTTGTGACGTAATGCACGCACACACACACACACACACACACACACACACACACACACACACACACACACACACACACACACACACACACACACACAGTGTTTATACTGTCTAATCCTCTCACTGTGACTCTCACATGATGAAAAAAATGTGCATGCCTGACAACCCCCCACGGCCAAACGTAGCACGGTGACTGCGCCTGGGCTCACATGCTCCACTGCAAACCATTCCACGTATGTCCCGCCTCTTTTTATTGGACCGGTTGAGAGAACGCACACGAAGGATTGTCTCCCAGGGATGGACAGCATCAGGAGATATTTGGTGGCAAGAAGAGTCCCTTGGCCGTGGACAAGGACGGAAGACACACCAAATGAGTCCAGCCTGCTCATACCAAAGGTAAAAGGTCACGCTGCTGTCTCATTGTGTTTTGTAACTACACTTTCAGGAACTTTCTTTGTATTGGTCAGTATTGTACATACTTGCCAGTAATTAAAGTCACAGGGGGTCAAAACTCATCAGTAAGCTGCAGTCATATTTGTTGTTCTTCACAGAGGATAAAGAATATACACCTGAGAGTATTGTTATAATCTGTGCTTGTATTGCTCTAACGTGTCTCTTCACATATTCATTGTTCGAAGGGTTACGACACCACGACCTACTGTATGCTAGTTTTTAGCCCATCAATGTTTTGCATTGTTTGTTTGCATTAAGCTAAAATGTGTGCATTTCCATCCATCCATTATCTGATCCGCATGTGTTTAGACAGAGAGATAGATAGATAGATAGATAGATAGATAGATAGATAGATAGATAGGTAGGGAGGATGCGGGACCCCACGGAACCACCGAGCTTCACCGAGTGGTCACAAGTGGTGAACGGGAGCCCAGATTCAAAGATATCCACCCCAACCATGGTTATTCTTTTATCGACTACTTCCTCAAGTACCTCCTGGTTCTGAGCAACCTAATGTTCTCCGTCCTGGGCCTGCTTCTTCTCACCGTGGGGCTGTGGGGCCTCATCAGCAAAGAGTCCTTCACCCAGGAGAAAATCGGAAGCATGGGCACCGACCCCATGCTGCTGCTGGGGACTCTGGGCCTCCTGCTGGCGTTTCTTTGCCTGACGGGCTGTGTGGGCGCCTTGCGGGAAAACACCTTCTTGCTAAAGTTGTTTTCCGGAATGCTTCTGGTGATCATCACGGCGCAGGTTTTGGCCATCATCGTGGTGTACAATGTGCAACAAGAGATCGGGAACGTCCTACGGTCAGCCATGTTGGCTGCCATGGCTCGCTACCAGGACGACCTGGATCTGAGGTTCATCACAGATGAGATCCAGTCCAATCTGCAGTGCTGTGGGGCGGATACTTATCGCGACTGGGAGGTCAACATGTGAGTTGGCTTTGGTGGATTTGAACTTCCAAGACTCTGTGAAGTGAAAGCAGAAATTTGTCTAAAAATACATAACTTTCTGCAGGCGTAAAAAGCACAATTACAGCAGATGACATTCAGTAATTTTCAACAAAAACTCGATTATGTTGTAATAAATCACTTCCTATATTGTTCGTAGAAAGGGTTCTATATTGTTCTTTTAAATTGACACCTCAAATGAATAGCTCTGTCATCCGGTGGCTGAAAATAGAATTACCCCCGATATAAACAACATTAAAACCAAAATAGAGTTATTAACTGTAATAGCGGAACCGTAAACATGGAGCCTGTGATGGTTAGGGGGTTACTGTATTATTGTCGTGCTTAATTCTAGAGGCATTGTTTTAATCAGTTTCGGAATCCTGACTTTTTTCTTTTTTTTAATGCTAAAACAGCCCCACCACTCCCTTGAGCGCCTTCATTTGCATCAGTGATTATCTGGCACTTTATCATGCAGTTAGCTAGTCTTTATTTCGGGTTGTCGGCGTGCCCTCTTTAGAGTGCCTCGTTGTTGGCTGCGAATGCACTGACATCACCCAGAGAAAGGCGGAAGAGCGAGGGTGGAAAAAGTTTTTTTATTTAATTTAATGACATTTAGCTCAGCGTGACAGCCAGCATGTGGATGGCATTCATGTAGCGAGGCTGCTTCAGATTGCCTTATTGTTGCGGCATGGAAAAGTCCTTCGATGACCCGGTGGGGTGTATTCCAGCCATGTAGTTTTGTGTAGGTGTAAGAAAGATGCTGGATAAAGTTGCATTGGTGTTTCCTGGTCGTGGTCTTTGATTGACAGTTGACAGTTGAGCAGGGCAGGCTTTCAGAGCATTGATTGGTTAAGTCGACAGTAATGAGTATATTGAAGTTAAATGTCATAATTTAACATCACCAACAGTGCATGTGTCACAAAATCATTCATTTCCAAAATTCTTACCCCACAGATACTACAACTGCTCAGCTCCAGGAGTTCTGGCCTGTGGCGTTCCGGCCACGTGCTGCATTGACCCACTGGAGAACGGCACAATGTGGAACTCTCAGTGCGGCCTGGACGCCCAAACGCTGGATGAGTTCAGCGCACAGAGCGTTATCTTCTTGGGAGGGTGCCTGGGGAACATCTCGCGGTGGTTGGAGCAGCACCAGGGCTTGATTGGGACCGTGGCGCTGGTCCTACTGGGAGTCCAGGTTGTGACTGTGTATGTCACCACACGACTCCAACAGAGGATCCATTGGCATAAAGTCAACGCGTAACCACATGTCAATTTGAACTTTGTGCTGATATTTCATGGGGAAAATATGCAAAAGTGACTTTTATTGCATGTACTACACCCATATTTGTGTCTTCAAAATGTCTGCTCACCCATCAAGTGTGAAATTACACAACCAAGTACTTTGTGGGGGGTGGTCTGCCTCTTTCTGAAAATATGTCAAGAAGAAATCTGCTCAGTTTGTGGGCCCCTTATTTCTTTACCTATGACTTGGCAGCTACCCGGGCAAAGAGCCACCATTTTATTCTCTCCCAAATGGGAGCAAGCCGCAGATACCAATCAAAACTACTGTGGTAGCATTTTCTGACATGCAATATAATGGTGTAGACTAATAGTTGGCCTCACAGTTCTGAGATTCTGGGTGCATATTTCCTCAGTGCTTGTGAGGGTACTTTGTATTACTGTATGATGTGATCCCCCCTAACTCTCACACACTGCATGGGGTCATTTATGTAAGGGTGTACGATGTGTACAACTCATGTAGTATGCACTCACTGGATTAAGACAAGAAGATAAGAAAACCTTTATTTGTCTCACAATGGAGAAATTCACAATTAGGATATAAAGCTGTCCTCCTCATGACTTTTTTCTGCACCTAACATACAAACACAATCGGCAGTCTCCTCCTCATAGGTTGCATTTGTATTCATACGAGGTATTATGAATACAAATGACTCCTCATAGGTTGCATTTGTATTCATACGAGGTATTTGCTATGACTAATTAATTGATCATCCACATTAAAACTATGCAGGTTGCCTGTCACATACTGGACACACACAACAACATAACAGTACTAAATTTTATTTTCATCTTATAATAATGTGTTTAACTTTTCTTTAAATTTTATTTTAGATTTGAAGTAATGGTTTGGTCCATAAAATCCAGTCACTATTAAATTACCTTGATAAGGTCATCTGCAAATGATTAGTTGAGTAGACTTTGTTTGTTCCGCCTAGTTTTTGTTTGAGACTGTTCACTTTATGACAATCCGCATTGGCTTTCATTTCGAACAATTGAGATTTGTATTCTTTATCACTTATGTGAAATATTTGTGTATGTTCTAGTTAAAAGGACAATAATAGGCTTTCGGCGACAAAAAAAAGTACAGGTAGTTGCATATAATTTTTTTTCAGTCTGTACATTAGACGATAGCGCTCAGATGTAAATTCAACAAAAAACGGTCTTATTGCTCCCGCAAGACTGTACAGTGTACACTTATGACCGCGTTTGGTTTTACAGATTTTCTAACTACTTCGCCATCTAGTGACTAGCAGTGGAACATCATTTCGGTTTCTTTTTGCCTCGGGGATTAAAAAGTCATGATTCTTTTTGTGGACATTAAAAATATACTCTTCTAAGTAATTACATATTACGACATTACGAGAACTTCAAGAACAAGAAAAGAAAAATTCCGACCGCGACACTCTTCTGACGTCATAGTTCAAAGGGTTAACGCTACGGAAGTTGGGGCCCCACGTGAGAACGTTAGTTGTGTTGATTTCAAATGTGCTGAAATAACGACGTGAGTCGACATGGGGAAGAATAAGAAGCGTAAGAACGACTCTGGGGAGATGGTTGACAAAATTGGACAGCAACCGAGGTAACGTAAACGCTACGTTAGGTTGAAGGCAGCTCTTAGCTTAGCGGCTAGTATGCCAATAGCTAGCTACACATTTACCACATACGGTATTTTTTGTTGAAGTTGGTGTGAAAGTCATAAAGATTTAGACGAGCATCTTTATCTATTTAAAGACAGTGAGTATTCTATTTCCTACAGATAGTGTTCGAATAAAAGCAAATATTTCTACATTTTAGTGCGAAGAAGCAGAAACGAGATGGTAAAGCCCCAAAAGCCAACAAAAAAGAGGACCACCTTGAGCACATCCCCTTCAGGCTGCAAGAGATCATTAAGAGCAAGGAGAGGATGGAGCAAAGTGGCTCTTTGAAGGAAAGCAAATTAAGAAACGGTGAGCAAATATGAAGCATTACTCATTAAAGACCTGCATGCTTGTGATAAGACTCGTGCATCATTTCTGTACGTTTTTTCCCCCTTAGCCATCCATTTTCATAGACAACCAGAGAAGTCCAATGTCAGCGATATAGCTGTCCCGCATTTCAAGCGAGGACATCGGGAAAGCGAGTCACACTACAAGCGGCGCATGGAGATGGAGTCCAAGCAGGTCTTATTCCTCACCAACAACCAGGTGGAGAGGAAACCCGAGCTGGATGAAGACAAACAAGAGAAGCCAGTAGACCAGAGAAAGACAGACAAAAAGAAAGAGTAAGCAGATTTTTACAGTGGCACCTTGATTTATAATATGCTCGAGTGAAGTGAAAAAAAACGGGCCACAGATTGCACTGTACTGACCTCGCATGTGGGCAAGTCAAGTCAAGTACAACTTTATTGTCAAATGTGCTGGAAATGCAACATACAGCACAGATGAAATTTCTTCCCTCTCAAGACAACATAAAACAAGGAGAACCTAAGTCACTGATGCGATTCACTCAAACACACAAAGTGAATACACTTGCAAAGAGCGAGTGTAACAAAATGTGTTTTTGGGCGGCCAGAATGGATTCATGGCACTTCAACCTTTTGTGTTTGTTGCATGTCATTGGTTGCCGCAGGTACAACAAACAGAAGTTGCAAAAGCAACAGCAGAAAAAGTTGGAACGACGTGAAGCCCAGTTGGAAAAGGAAATGTTCCAAGGTAATGTTATTCAGCAATGCAGCTCAATGGTAATTTAGTCTGCGGACAATCTAAGGAACACCTGACTTTTTAAAAACTGAAATACAAACAGTTGGCTCTCTGGAGTGCCCATCCAACGGCCAATGATTTTACATTTCATAATGGTGATAGAAAACCAATTCACATTCAATTTCCTTCCTTCTTTATTGAAATCAACTACGGGGATACATTCGAGTTTCACCTTAAGATGTGCCTCGGCAATTTCGCGATGACATCTGTAATGAATAGTGAAGTCAAAATCATAAAACTGATGCCTTTTTTTCACGTTTGAAAGGAGAGTAGCCTTTCATTTCATTGCAGTGCCCGAGCCCCCCGACTAATAGTCATGGTAACATCAACTCAAAAATGTAGTGATTTCAAGTCGATGCTCGCAATGATATACGTATTTTTCATCCTTTTGTGTTTTGGCAGAAAATGTCGCCTCCTTTAATTCATGACCTAGACAGAACTAAGTCAGTAAAACTATTTTTTTGTCTTACAAGATGACATTCCCTTCGGCGAGGTTTCAATGGAACCACCTTCACTAACCAGCAAACCCAAGAAAGCACCCATCAAGCCTCGGGTAAAACGAAACCCTCCAATGTACATTGACATGTCATGCGACCAAGTCATAATGCAACATGTTTCTCTCATCTGTTACCTGTTCGACCTGTAGGCCACTAAGGAGCTTCTCCTCAACTCGCTTCTCGGCCATGCGCCGGCGCCCACCACCAAGCCGTCCATGGCCAGGCAGAGGATCATGGAGGAGGAGCGGCAGCGGGCCGTGCTGGCTTATCGGCAGCTGAAGAAACAGAGACAGCAGCAACAGGAAGAGGCCAGGACTGTGAGGCGCAAGGTTCCCCAGTGATGGGGCACCGCGACAAGATTATTTTTCCTCAAGTGACTGTGGGAATTTTGCAGTTAAATATGATGTGGCTGAAGCCCGGCAAGGCCGACACATTTGCATCCCAAGGCTGGGCGGAGACATTTAAATGCTGTTATCTTGTCAAGCATTTATTTGTTGTTACGCAGGCAGTCAGTCCTCAGTTTACAATGATATCAACGTATGAGGTTACGAATGGCGTGCGATGAAGTAGTCTGTGTAGAAATACATTCTCATTCGACAAGGTACGTCGTAATTCTCGTCAAGTTTGACAATTCTAGCCTAGAAATGTTGGAACGGAACTCAAGAGAAACCGGACGCTGCTGTAGTGCGCTCAGCGGTGCAGGGGTTATACAGTACTACTGAAGGGCCGCTTGAGGGCAGTGTTTCAGAAAACACAAATCCACTTCATTTATTTGGAGAACTGTGGTGCCATGCTATCTAAACGAGATAATATAAAACTGTTTTTATAATGTCAAGAGGAAAGTATATTTTTGCTGCTCATATGATTCTTGTGAGCTGATGTCTCTTTGTGTTTTACCTGATCAAAATCAACAAACATGTTTGGTAAGAAAACAGTGAAACACACTTTAATGCGGCTTGGCTTCCAAGTTGTACCAATTTCAATAGGAAATAAAGAAAAGCGACTAACTGGTATTAGTTCCAGACTCAAACTGGCGACACCTTTTTTCAATATTGAAATAATATTTGACATTTTACAATCTGCAATAGACATTTAATTAACTATTTTTTTACAATACAAAGAGTAAAATACTTAAATGTTGATTTTTATTCATGATAATCAAATTACACTGTAACAAATGAATGCAACAGCATAAAAAAGAATAAAAAAAATAATCAATTTTAATGACGTAGTGTGAGAAAAAAACAACAAAAGTCGAAATTCATAGCTATTCATAATGGAAATAAGTTTCAGTCCCCCCAAATGCATGGCTGTCCAAGTAGGACCACAATGACCAACATTGAAATACAGTCGCATGACCAAAGCGTTTGTACAATAATATGGCAGTTTTTAATTCCTAAAAGCCGCTGCAACATTATGCAGTTTGAACTTGATCACTGATTTTAAAGACACGATTTTTGTTAAGTACTGCAGATTAAAAATCTTTTGCACATAAAATTTGATTACAAATTGTGCCCACGTGTTTGAGAACAAGCGGTTCTAAAAGATGAAATGCCAACGTACTCTTGCCTACTTAAATGTTAAATACAACTGAATTGTGATTAACCAGCATACTGTACTGGACTTAAAAAAAAAAAAAGCCCCTAACTGCCTGTTCAATTTATTTAATAATATGTGCGGTGTACTAGAAGTACAATACATTCATAAAAACGTGGAAGCTGCCAGATGAGAATCAATCACATCCATGTTGAAAAGTGAAGCACTTATTAGCAGGCGGCAAGGCTATTTGCATATGTAATACATTTGAAGGTTAACCCTCAATCCAGCAATGAGCAAGGCCTTTGTTGTCATCGCTGACCTGTGCCACAAAGTCAACAAACAGCAGCCAGATTGTACTTTGTCAAATATGGCATACACCAGCATCATAATAGTAATGAGTGCCGCGCTGTCTGCCCCGCGCTGTTTGATCAGCTTTGACCAGCAAAGCCTTCAAGTGGCTGCTTGTGTTTATCCGCCTGCTGTCGCCGCGGTAACAAGGAAACGCAGCTGTTTGTGAGAGCTCGAGTGTCGCATCTGCTGAGGTCGTGAAAGTGGTGTCGCGCACGTGGCCTTGCATGTGCACGTGACAGCTTGAGTGCTCGGGAGCGGGCTTAGCCGGGGTGCTCACCGATGGCATCAAATAGTGCTTTTGTTTGCGTCCATTTGGATACATTTCCCTGCGAGGGGCTTTTTTTTTTTTTTTTTTTGTAATGCATCTTTGGAATTGGAGCAGGCGGCCCGGAAGACCAGTGGTTAGCGCGTTGACCTCACAGTGCAGAGGTCGTGCGTTCGATCCTGGCTCCGGCCTTCCTGTGTGGATGTTAGGTTAATGCTGGTAATCAGATGCTAAGAACACATCAGGAACAGGAAGACTCAGGAGGCAGGCATAGTTGTCTTTCTTGCAAGAGAGAGCGCGCTAAAACATGTCTCGGTTCACAATCTCAAAGCAGCTCTCCAGCTGGCTCTGCAATGTAAACCGTTACAGGTTCCGGGGCAACTCTGAAGAGTGCGCGTTTGTCTCCTTGCATTTATTGGAAGGATGTCCCTGATACACAATCTTCTAACGGGAGTGGGGAGTATTTTCACATTCCACAACAGTTTCAGTAAAGGAGAGTTTCAATGAGAACACAGTTCATTCCTGAGATGTCGTCAAACGGCTCCT